CAATGAATTACAATGGTTACGAGCGGAATTCTGCATCAGAAATTTTAACTATCGTATTCCACGTATATTTGTACGAATGGAACGAAAAGATCAAAGTTGATTATATTTTATATAACAAAAGAAGAAAAGAATTTGTGCTTAACTTTCTACTTTTAAATTGTTTTGATTTTAAATATTTCTAATAATCATTAATGAAAAATCTACTTCTAAATTTCCGTAAAAATTCAATCTTAAATTAGTAATAAAAAGTAAAAATGCATGATTCTTGAAACAGTTAATTCTCAAGGATTTTTCGCTTCTAATTTTTCAGAAGTAATAAATAACGGGAAAGAATGTTTCGTTCCACCTTATTGCACGTATAGCCGCTTAATTGAAGAGTTTAAAGAAATTGCATGTGCTAGATTGTGTCGTAACACGAGAGAGAGAGAGAGAGAGAGCAGTTTCATCGAGAATGCAGATCGCATTGCTCGATCTTTGATAATAGCCATTAACCGATTGGCGGACGTGAGGTGAATCGTTGGACGATCTCGTGCTCGCGGGAAGAATGCCGGCTGGCGAAAACGGAGGAGCGCCGGTTTCGCATAGTTCTCGAAGTGAACAGTGACATTTCGTTGGTGCACGATCGATGAAGTGAAACCTTGACTCGATTCGTTCGACGAAAATTTACGATCCACCCATTAATCTTTATTATATACGAATTCCTCGAAAAAAAAAAAAAGGTGTTTCTAGAAAAGTTATCGAAGTTGAAGATTTTTATAACGAATTAAATTTTTACGAGCATGATTCAAAGAAATAGAATTTTCTCTGCCTTCTCATATGCGTATTGAGTAGATTTTTGTAACAGTTGGAAATTTCGTTTGAATTATTGATTAATCAAATCTTTATGAATATTTTCTGTACGTCGTGCCCATTCTGGAAAGTTTTTGTATATTTAAATTGTGCATAAATATTTACAGGCTAATTATAATATTCTATCAATTAATAAGTGACATTTGTTGTGCAGAAATTTTGGCATTTCATAATTTCTTTTTAATATAAAATAGTTTCAATTTCGATAGTCGATATTAAAAAGGACAGCCATTTTCATTTTCATTTATGATAAATTTTGACGCCATTTCTCTGAATCAAATTATATTCAAATTTTCCAGCAAACGACACTCATTATAGGTAATAAAAGATAAGGTAATAAAGATAATTATTTCCAATAATTACTTTTTAAAAATCTGCCTTTACGATAACATTTTAAAAAAGTCTCAACTTCAAAATTGTTTTCTGGCAAATAAGAACAATCTTAAAAAGGATTTAAAGTTTCTCGCGAGAAGATAAAATATTCCAAGTTTTATCTTGAATAAAAATATTGGCATAAAAGTTAAAAAAGCCTTGATATTGATGCCTGAATATTGATAAATATTGCGAGTGAAAATTTTCATTTCTCAACAAATTTTCATACATGCTTTGCAACAAATCATATAATCATAGAACGATAAAATGAGTTATTGGAGTGTAAGATTAATTAATAAAAATTATACGTAAAAATACGTAATTGGCAAATGCATTTCAAAATGGATTCTCGATTTCGTACCGTGCAGTAACCAGCCAATACACACAGCACGATCCTGGAATCAGTGGAGCATGAACACTAGAATGTTGAGAATTTCATTCCATCCCTAATTTTAACTCTGACCGCATAAGATTCTTTACATATTTTCAACTCGATGCGTTATTACGTTTATTAAATACCCGCAAAAAGGAGAAAGATTTATCATTTCGAAAAAATTGCATTGCACAAACCTATTCGTATACTTTGCTCCACTGCAAGCATCGACAAAAATCAAAATTTTCAATTTAAGCGAAGACTTTTGCAACCTTTTTTTTTTACTATTTCTATAAACAAACTTGTGAAACGTTCCACATTTAATCCAAATGTTCAAATATCGTTGCCATTGGCAACTAGCCTTGCACAGACAACAAATTGTAGAATACGTGGAATACGCAAAGCACGAACCAGTAAATACATTCGAAAGATCTCTCCATGCAGGGGGATCCGGGCAAAGGGCGATCTCGAAAAAAGGCGCTCTCTCGAGCATTCTCCAAGATCGAAATTCTCAAGACCTTTTGTTTGGGAGTGCCGAAGCTGCTCCATTCCAAGACAAAGCTCTCTCTCCTTCCTTTTTGCACGCGTCTACGTACTTTCCTCCCTGCTTTGCCCTAAACACATGCACGTACACAGGCACGTGCACGTATGTAGAGTGTTCCAAGGTTTCTCCTTACAAGCTTTGTTTAAATTCCACGAGTAAAAAAAAAAAAAGAAAAGAAAATAACTATAAATTCATCAAAGAATATCCAATGCAAAATAATTAATTGTAAAAGTATGGACAGAAATGTTATTTTTATGTAAACTTTAATATAAGATGCAATAAATTAAATCTACGATCAATTCAACATTGGTATATCAGACATGTGTTAATAAAGGGAGACGACACTCTGAATTGGAATATTTCATCTATCATCATATCTCATTTGTATCATCATTTATCATTGTTATATAGTATCATCTATTATTTGTAACACGTTTCATTACCTTTTTTTTTTTTTTTTTACCTTTTAACATCGACTTTCCATTATTTTTGCTCAAACAACCCTTATCGACAAAGTTTGGGGGGCGAGAAACCCGAGACATCTCGTGCACCATGACAATTGAACGAGATCTCGGTACAGCAGCTCTTTGTACTTGCTCACAACGTACCACGCGTGCCTTTTTCTCACGTCAAAGAACCGGCGAAAGACGCGTGGAAGGAAGATAAATGAATAGCAGAGATAATCAAGGAGTTCAGTTCGAAGTGAAAGTGGTCGAAAGACGCTCGAAAATACTCGAGCTAAGACGAGGAAAATAAATATTAACCCTGAAAGTGATTGATACATTCAATAGTGGAACATCTTTAAAGATGTTCTAAAATAAACACAAAGTTGGTAGAAAAATTCGATCGAGAGTTATTTATTAAGTTTGAGACGAAGCAGAGTGTATAAGAAACAATGAATATTATTTATTCTGAAAAGAAAATTATTTGTCGAATTGGATTGATATTTTTTTTTTTAAATTAATAGTTTGAATAAAAATATATGTAATTTTAAAGTTTTCTCGTCAAAAGTTATTGAAAGATTGAACTTTTTACGTTTGAAAAACATTTTTAGATTCGAAACAACGCAAAATGAATAAGCAATTGGTCTAAGAGTCAATCCAATACCACTAAAATCGCTTCAGGTACGATATTTTTCTCAATAACGGAATAACGGTAAAGAAAATGAGTTCAATGTTGAATATCTGGTGAATTGATAATCATCTATTAAAGAATCGAATATTAGTTTTTCAGTTTTTAAAAATTTATCATTGTGCAAAAATTCATTCAAAGTCATTCAATATATATATATACTTTGAAACCTCTCATTATATAGTTTATCATAAAGGAATATTTATATTTTATCTTAGGATTATAATTATACTTGATTACATGCTACTTATGAAATTCATTTTGATATTTTGAAAATTGTAATGGAAATTAATTTAAATGAATGTCGTATGATTGTAAAGGAATTGCATAACGTGGATTTTTTTCCAATAAATCATATTTTTTGACGTGAAGTCAAAAATCTTTTTTAATGGAAATCAATTTTTTTCCTATTGTGGATAAATTCAGTGATATGTCAGTGAATTATCTGAATATCTTTTATTTCTTAGTTATTGATGACCAGTTGCGTAACAGCATTTGAAAGATTATATTGGTATTCTTTTGTGATTTTTAAAAAAATTATTGAAAAACATTTTATTTATAAAGATATAACATGCAGCTTAGATTTCCATCGCTTAGATTTCTATCATTTAATAATTATGAAATTACTTGTTTGAACCAAGCAGAAATAAGATAATTAATTATAAATTTGAAACTTTGTATTTGTGCAAAGTAACATAAAAGCGAATCATCAATAGTTTTTCAATGGAATTCAAATAGAAATAATAATTCTTAAAGATTTTAAAAATTTTGTAAAACTGTAATGAAAATTTTTAGGTTTCTTTAATTTTTTTTTGTCTAACTATCCTAATTATCTTATTTATTAATAATGAGATAATATTGATAAGCAAAAAATTGAAATTCTACAAATATTGTAATAAAGAGAAATTATTATATGTGAATGAGTATAGTAATGTCACTTGTGATGAATGTTATAGTCATTTTACTGATCCATTGACCAAGTATTCTCCGGCTGATTTATGCTACGTATAAATCTTTTCGTTTTATCGTTCACTTTGTCTCAAAAGAATATTTATATTTCCTTCAATAATTGTAAATCGTATCTATTCTAATCCTATTGATTAAAATAAATAACATTTCACTATACAGAATTTTGTTTAATCCCTTCCATTATTGCAAAAAATCTCTACAAATTAAAATATAGATTTACTTTAAAATCAAATTACTTGCCTTTCTACCTTAATCCGCGAATTAAGAGAATAGCCTATCTTTTAAGATTCCAAACTTACTTCGTATAAATAAAACTTTTATCGCCCTCTCAATGTAATTATACATATCAGAATCTACTAGCGATTCCATTCAACCGTACCTTCCTTTCTTTCACTTAAAATTGTCTCGAATGTTCGAAAACAAAAGATAACGCTTGCAAATTTTCCTCCTTCAAGCCCTTATAATTGGTGTCGAATTTTATTTGAAAACTTCGAAATCTCTACGACCACGATGATTTTATTCTTTTCTTAAGATTCTTAAGTTATCTAATTCTACCAAAGTTTTACCGAACGGTTATATTCGTAGTATTTTATGTATAATATTCTTATAGTTATGCAAAAATTAGTACCGCTTCACGGATATTCAAATTGCAAATATCTCTCTCTCCCGCGAGAGAGAGAGAGAGAGAGAGAGAGAGCCAACGTGGAATAGTGTGGTAGCGCGCAAGATTTAAAGAGAAGAAACTAGTCGAGCTAGACTTACCTGGTGGACAGTTGCACTCCGAAACGTCTCGTTTGATCCGAAACACGCTCGTCTCCAACGCAGACCGCTGCACCTCCAACTGTTCCTGAACTTCCCTCTTCAGCCTCTGGATAAGAACGTCCGGCGTTTCTTGAAGCTGACAACGAGTTTCCAAATTGGCGATCCTCGATTCCAATCCCAGTTCCCTGTACATGAGTAGACCGGACACGGCCAAGCTGGTAATACAGAGGGCGCACATCGCCCAATTGAGTGTTACACCCTCGGTTCGACAGGAATCCTTGCGGAATTTCCTCGGCATCGATGTCTCGAGGGAGCCTTTTCTCGGCGACGACCAGTCGGTCGCCGTGTCGGACTCCATGTTGTACACAGGATCGACACACGCTCTCGCTTCTATTCGTGCACACGCAACGCGTTAAGCGCGCGTCATAACCCACCCAAAGATCGTCGATACGTCCTGACACGGCAATCACGGATAAACGCGATACAATGGAGAAACCACGCGAGTCTTACAGACTGTACGGCGTCATCGTCCATCTGGAATGCATCTCGTGCACCCACTTGCCCGTTATTGCTTACCTCTCTTTCTTAGACTCGTTCCTTCTTCTTCTTCTTCTTCTTCTTCTTTTATCTCGCACGAGAGCACGCGTTCGCCTGTACACTCTCTCTCTTTCTATCTCTCTATTACCTTCAAGGAACGCGCTCGTGGCTCTTTCTCTCCTTTTTTATCCCTCCCTCTCTCCTTCTTAGAGCAATCGAGGTTCCCAGTTTGACCGCACACTGACGTTGGTAAACAACAAACGATGCCACCAATCAGAACACGAGTGTTCCGTTAAAACGCGCGCTAGTTTTAAATGTTCGAACAGCAATGACAGCGTCCCCCTACCGACCGTTTCGGAATTAACCACGATCCTATCTAACCACGAGCCAACTTCTTCCTTTAGAAATCTTCTATTTCCGTCTATCTTGCTCTTCGAACGTCTTGTCCTTTCTGTTGCCGTTGCCGGTGCAAATGGAGCATCACCCGGCGCTGTCGCATCGCGATTCCTTCGGCTTTGCGCACTTTCCACACTCTCCTTAATTCGAGATTATCTTTAACGGCGAAAGAGACACGATTACCTCGATCATAGGTATGGTATTTGCCCTTCAAACGTCTCGTTGGCACACGCTTACGCTTAGAGAACGTGAGAAACGAAACCGATAAACAGTGGCGGAACTAACCGTCGAAAAACTATTATCATCGAAACAACGAGAAGCCTCGGATTTCCTGGGGTATCGAGTCAGTCTAACGACGATTCGTACGACGCGTATTTCATCGATGATTACGTGTTAAACACAACGAGGTTCGATTTATTGGAACGAACGAAAAGTATACCGAAATACCGCGAATACGAAGCACACAGCGTGGCATTCGCAGTACGACTGGATGTGGTGGGGCGACGCTGTGCCGAGGGCCGAGGGTTCGTCGCTTCGGCGATATTCGGCCATATTCGGCCGTCTTCGGGCCTCGACTCATCCACCGGCTGCCGGACGCGTGGAGGACGATCGGTCGACCTAACGTCCACTTCCATTCGCACTGATTCGACCCTGCTTTTCCCTTGCCCTTCCATTTACCCCTCCAATACGCCCCATTCGACTGGATTTCGGCTAGAGGATTTATCTTTTTGTTTTTCCTTCTTTCTGTTAACCGTTCGAATCGCGCGACTGCCAGAGCGTGCGAAATTGTGCGAACTTATTTTAAATTCCAACCCTTTCATTCCGCTACATGGGAGGGCGATGTTAACGGTACGTACACGGCCAAATGAAAAGCTGATCGAGTGTGAAAAATCACTGTCTCTCTTCGACCGGTTTTCTCGTGTCCGATTATTTCGTGGCGATTAAATTTTTTTTAATCCGGAAATTTTTTTGATCGTTTTATTTTAAAATAATCTTCAAAACTGTTATATATCTGTTATATATTAGTTGTATGAAATTTAAAACATGTGTAATTTTTCTATTCTTAATTTGGAAATTTGATAAAAATCCTTGGATTTTTTTAATATTATTCACACGAATAATTAGATATTAAAAAAAAAAGAGATTAACCAACGAATTCAACTGTATTATTTACGAATATATTATATCCTTTATAATATTAAACATAAAACAGATTAATTTTATAATCTCTATTGTTACTAACGAGCCATGTTCCACAAAAAAAAAAAATCTTCAAAAAAACGTACATTCCTCTTACCATCAAATTCTCTCCATAAAATTCTGTTTTGTCACGTACGTAATTATTCGACACGTTCGCCTCGAACCTAATTACTACTACTACGTGTTTTTAAAGCATCTAAACTTTCGTTTAAAAAAAAAAAAAAAGAACACGCATTATTTTTTATGCAATAGACAATTGATGCGCGTTCGAATATATCCGATCGAGTGTGAAAAATCACTGTCTCTCTTCGACCGGTTTTCTCGTGTCCGATTATTTCGTGGCGATTAAATTTTTTTTAATCCGGAAATTTTTTTGATCGTTTTATTTTAAAATAATCTTCAAAACTGTTATATATCTGTTATATATTAGTTGTATGAAATTTAAAACATGTGTAATTTTTCTATTCTTAATTTGGAAATTTGATAAAAATCCTTGGATTTTTTTAATATTATTCACACGAATAATTAGATATTAAAAAAAAAAGAGATTAACCAACGAATTCAACTGTATTATTTACGAATATATTATATCCTTTATAATATTAAACATAAAACAGATTAATTTTATAATCTCTATTGTTACTAACGAGCCATGTTCCACAAAAAAAAAAAAATCTTCAAAAAAACGTACATTCCTCTTACCATCAAATTCTCTCCATAAAATTCTGTTTTGTCACGTACGTAATTATTCGACACGTTCGCCTCGAACCTAATTACTACTACTACGTGTTTTTAAAGCATCTAAACTTTCGTTTAAAAAAAAAAAAAAAGAACACGCATTATTTTTTATGCAATAGACAATTGATGCGCGTTCGAATATATCCGTTTCTTTCTTTCTTTTCTTTCTTTTTTTTTTTCTTTTTTCCGTCGGATGAATTAACCAATTAAACCGACATCGAATCACGACTTTCACGAGTTGGATCGTGACGGAACGGATCGAAACAAAGTTATATCAGGAAATATCGATCGACGAATCGATCGTTCCCTTGAAACACATCCCCTGTGTACGTATACGTGACGGATACGTACAATCGACCCCTTGCTACCGTCCAATCGCTAGCACAGGAAGCGATTATAGACTACATCCTGGAACGTACGTTCGGCTTGTTCGCCCTCTGCGCGTATACTAAATCGAATGCTGCAGCAACCTGCTAATCGTATAACTAATAAGCGGACAAATCGTCGATACACGGAGGAGAAAGGACGAGGGGGACGAGAGGAATGGCAAAACAAATAGAGGAATGTTAATCGATGTTTCATGGAGCAACATCGATCCATGGGTGACGATCCCCGTAACACGCGTCTAGTTTCACGCCATCAATTTGATCTACAAACAAAAGGAAATATCGAATATCATGGAATATTAACATCGAATCGAAATTCTTTTTCGTCGCTTAAAATGAAACTCTTATTAGAAAATGTTATAATGATAATAATTGATAAGGTATTGTTGAAATTTTACAATACAATTAATAATGCCTTTAATAATACGAATATTTCATCAAGGAAAATTTGAAATTTGTTATGAAGAAAAAAATTTTTTTTTTTTTGAAAATGACGAAAGGATAATTGTGTGAATATATATTGACTCTTGCATCTGAAAAAAGAATTTCAATAATCTCGTGTAAACGAATATTTAATTTAATAATGGATTCAATTGGTTTAAGGCAAGGTATTATTAAAAAAATATCGAATCTCGAAGAGCAAATAGAAAGCGCTAACACAATTTTTTTTTTTCCAAACAGTTCAGTGAAGTCATCTAGACGCACTTACTTTCCATTAACGTTATCGAGGGGATATAAGTTAAATGTTGAAGAAGGGAAAAAGTAAAGTTGAAATATACTACGGTCGTTCGTCTTGGTAAAGCATACATCGCATTCCTCCTCGTTGTCGGCCTGAATTTAATCAGAGCCTTTTCGTACAGCTATACATACATACGTCTTATATAGTTTCTCTCGTTTCCTCGGTGAAAGACTAATCGGTGAAAACCATTCGGAACACGCACGAGGAAGAGATCTATCTTTGGCGTTTCAGCAATATCTTACCTTCATTTTTTGGTCCAGAATATCTGGACGTTTTTCTTATCTAGAAAACCGAAGGACTAAGCGCCGGGGTGCACACGACACGAATCCTTTAATGCCCGCACTGGCAATACATAAATTTCCATATTATTTTGTAAATCGTTTCTCTTGAACCTCTTTCGAATGTTAAATTACATGTCTCGATGACTTCCAGTTCACATTGCTTCGAACTTGTATTAAAGGCAGAGTGTTACGAAACATAATATCAATTTCAATTCTATTTGAAATATTAGATAACCAAAGAGAATCTGTAGTTTCTTTTGTGAAGGAAAAAAAATGTAAAAGGGAAGGAAATCACGCTTTCGGAAATATAAGAAACATCTTTCTTGTTTCGATAATTGGCCAAGTTTTACGAAAATAAGGTTATGTAATCAGATTTTTAAATCTCAAAAATCACTTGCAACTGTACCCGCAGAAATACAGCTACTTTCTAAAGTTTTCTTATTTTTCATGATTATTTATTTTTCCATTACAAAAGAGGCGATAAAATTTCTCATTTCACTCAATGTATAAGAACTTTTATTAACGCTCCAGTTATCAGAAAATCAATAAATCTTGCAGAAATTAAAAAGGAATTACGAAGTTAATAAAAATCATAAAATATTTACCATACAACAGAATATCTCGTGGAAAGTGTTTCCTTTCAGAAGTAAAAATTTCAAAAAAGTAAATATTTCATTCCCTTTTTATCTTCATTTTATTAAATAACTTCATTCGAGGATAAAATCGAGAATGAAAGTTACTAACTTATCGAACAATGTCCACTAACAAAGAAAAAATATCATCCTCGACCATTCACACTCGATTCGTACAAAATTTTCTAACCGATCGAAAATACTCGTTGCAAACAAAATCTAATCCTGTGTCCAATCGCGGGGAAACATCATCGATGGCCGACGATGCAATAACATCGTAACACGAGGATCCCTTACAAAACGTGCTTGAGCAGAGTGCGAGAGCACTCGGGTCCCATCCGAGGCCGGCACCGAATCGACAATGGACCACGGTTGAGAGCCTCTGGTAGCCGTTGCCGGCTAGGTTCGAGGGGTGAAGTTGCAGCGTGCGTCGTGATTAAAAAGTCATCGCGGCCGATGCCCTCTTCACGGCACGTTGGTCATCGTTGGGGTGCGGTACGAGGCGCATTATGTCGCGTTTCCGCCAGGAAGCAGGCGCAGTCGGGACGACACAGCCTGCACCTCGTTTCCGTGCGCTTCTCTCCACGGAGAAACGTGGACACTGCGGATAAGGATGAGAACACGTAGAGTGGAACGGGCGCGAGCGAGACAGAGCGCACGATACCCGAACGGGCGAAACGGAGAAAGGGGATCGTGAGTGGTGGGGGGACGACTGAGCGAACGACGACGCGAGGTGGTGGGGGAAGGATAGCGTACGTACGAGACACGTTTTCGAGACACTGAGGCAGAGTCTCATTTCGTGGACGGATCCACGCCACCCCCGCGAATGTGTCTGCACGTGTAAAGGGGGGGCTGAGGGCAGGAGGGCGAGGGGACGGCCAATGTGCAGTTTGTATTCCGCTCGACGGAAAATACTCGTTCGTTACAATGTGTACACCGAGACTCGTCCTCGTCGACGTCCTCGACCTTATCTTCCTTCTTCTACCTGCTCCTGCGAACTCTTCTTTGTATTCATAACGATCCCGCTTTGCCGGAGTAGCATCCGATACCGAGGGGTAGATGGTATTTGTAAATACTGATTGCTTGTGCCTCTTGACGTCGATTGGGGAACTTTTTGAAGAGAAAATCTTATGTTTGCGGAATTTTGTTAAAACAGTGGCCTAATTTTTTTTTTTTTTTTCCGGAATTATAAGTAAATTCGTCGATGCTGTACGGTTGAAGTAATTTGTAATGGTTATGTCGGATGGTTGTTGGTTATATTCTTTTTGATTTAATAACAGCAATGAAAGTAATAACAAATGTTTATTAGTCGAAAGGCTAAAAATTAGTTCTTTAATTAATACAAAAAGTCTTTGCTCTTTTATTAAATATATAATTAGTAAAAATTGAGTCTCGTACACTGTTTGTTTATTATAAAAATTTATATTTTAATTTAAAAGTTTCTTATTAATATATATAAGATTTGATCATTTATTGTATGTAAAATAATATATATTTTTTATCTAATAGGGAAAAAAATTTTTGAACTTTTGTGAAATAAATATGCAAATCTGCCTTGCTCTTGCATTTTGAATTAACAATAATCAATTAACAAAATCATAATCATTTTCTGCGAATAAGGGATAAAATAAAATTTCTTTTTAACGTCAAATCAAAGCAATAATTTTACA